AAAAAAAAAAAAAGACAGCAGACCAGAAAAAACTTTTCCCACCTAAAACTTGAAAAAACATTTTCCTTCCACGCCTAGAAAGAGGCGCGTCTGTGGAAAATCAAAGGCACAATTTCCATAAAAAAAGTTGGCCATCAAACAACACAATTTCAAGAAAAATGGAACTTCTTTTCATTTTCCATGGCAAATGGATGTTATCAAACACACCCTAAGTGTCTGAAAGAGTTTACGATCTGATTGATTACGAGGTTTTAACCATTGAAGGACAACTAAGAATTTCTATTTTAGAATTTTCATTTTAAAAGGAGCGGACCGATAGGGTTGTTTTTCAAGTACAAATAAAACGATTTAAAAGGGTTGTGCAACCTAAAGAATTGACCATATCTCTTTAATGAATGTGGTATTGAGGTTCAGTTCCTTTGGAGAAGATGTCAATTTTAGGAAAGATCAGTCGACGGGTTGAATTTATGCTTTTGCTTTGATCTCTTCGACTGAATGTAAATGAGACTTTGATCATTCAACTTGACCTTTTGAAGGAGTCATGTGAATGTTTTTAGCGAAAATTCTAAAAACATGAAAAACTAATATTTAAATTAAAAAATAAAAATGGAAAATTCTACCAAATAAAATTTTGAGAAAAAAATTAATAAATTCGAAAAAATAGAAAAAATAAATTTTTTTGAAAAAATAAAACATACAATTCTAAAAATAATAAAATTATGAACAAAATTAAAATTCTAAAAATATAAAATAAAAATTCTCAAAAAATAAAATTATAAAAATTTCTAAAAAAATAAAAAATAAAAATAGTTTAAACTCTTAATGATTATTTACATAAAAAATCTAAAAATATATATAAATGAACACACACAAAAAAATATTCTTAGTCGTCCACATCATTAATTTTTATTTTTACTTTCTATATTTTGAACTCAATTTATTATTTATTTTAATTTTACTTTTGTAATGAGAAAAAAATATTGTAAGATTGACCAATTTTCAGGTAATATATTAACATAAAATTATTCTATATTTACTGAATAATCAAATTTCCTGAAATAAATTTCATAAACGGTCTTTTAAAATTTCAAACCATACGTGTTTTCTAGTTTTATGTTTAGAGAAATATTTTTCGAACATTACCGGTGTTAAATACCAATCTAGATGATAATTGCATGACATTAGATGATAAATTCACATAAATGTAATGTCATATGATTCATTTAATTGAACATATTAAGTGTCGTCACATGGATTGGTGTTGATAGCACTATTCTCTTTAAAAATGATAAACAAATCGCGTTTTTAGTAATCTTAAAACAAACCTCCACGATAGAAAACTAAAAATGAATTCAAAACTCAAAATTGAATACTAAAAGACAAACCAAATGAGTTCTTTTTTTTCCTCAAACTTATTTTCAACTACACATTCTCCCAAGAAAATAATTTTATACATAAATAAAAAA